CCCATTCCTCCAAATTATTTCCAAACGTTTCTAAAACTTCAAAAACCTTAATTAAACCCTTAACAAGTCAAATATATCATTAAAAATTCAATTACTAATCAATTTCATAAAATCTCTTAAAAACCCCATTTTACCAATTTATCATTAATTCGCCAAAGTCTTAGTTTTATTCATCCTTAAGCCTTCCTTAAGCTTCTATACCAACTAAAGATTCAAAACCAACCCAAAAATGATAAAAATAACCAACTTAAAATAACTCACCTTGGCAAAGAGGAAGCTCACGGGAAAAGAAAGAATAAGAGAAGATAACTAAATGTTATAGGCTTTTCTTTTTTCCTCTATTCATCACATGTTAAATATCTTTAAAATTGAATATTAAATTCATTTCCTGCCAAAAAACCATAATACCCTTCCATTCTTCAATATTTGATAATAAGTCCTAGACAAAAATTCTCAAAATCAATCCTTGAACTTTTTAATTTATTCAAATTACACCACTAAATTTTAAAATCTTATACTTTAGTCACTAAGTCGATGTTTGGGGTACTACAAGGATGTTTTAATCTGTAATTAGAATTAAAGGGATCAAGTAATCAATTATACCATTGTTTGAAATAAAAGCTGAAACCAATTAAGAATTGGTGATCTCACGTCTGATTTTTCATCCTTCTTTTCCCTCACCTTTGTCTTCTTATATCAAACTCTCTTCTTCATCTTCTTCCTAAGCATTTCAAGTGAAAAGTGGGAACTTTATTCTTTCCAGCTTCTTCCATCAACACCAAGGTAAGGATTAAACTCAGCACCCCTAGAGCTTTTATTTGAAACCAAAAGGATAAGGTTTGGCTATGGTTTTTGAAAATAGGTTTTGAGACTTAAATCTTTGGGTTTAAATCTGATTTTTAGTAGGCTTAGGCCCTTAGAAGTGTTTTTAAACCTTTGGCTATGGTTTTTGAAAGTGTTTTATGAGAGGGTTTAAGAAACCTTTGGGTTTCAATATGATTTTCAGTAAGCTTAGGCCCTTAGAAGTGTTTTTAAACCTTTATTAAACCCTAAATTCAACTAATGCCCATAGTTTTACAATATTTTCTAGTGAGAGAGATTGGAGAAAGCTCTAAGACTAAAGGGAATGAGAAACTCGCCTTGGGTTGAGTCTTGAACATTTCAAAAGCAAAGTTTAATAAGGTAACTCATTTCTAACTCACCTATGCCATGTAGAGATTATTTAGATGAGAAATGGGTAGGTTACATAAGCTTGAAGCTTTTTCATGGTAGATTCATATTTTTTATGTTTCAACATGTGTTAAAACCTATTTATGACCCCTAATATCAATAAAATACTAAAACATCAGTTGGGGACCTCAATGGGGCATTTGGGTATGGAAAGATATGATTTTCGTGCCCAAAACAGAACATCCAGTAGTAACTGTATCGATATTGTAAGAACAATATATATTGTTCTTCAGTCGGGCATAAATTAGACAGTCATAGGAGTACCAATACTGAGGTATTTTTCTAAACATCGAACCGAAATTTGGTATCGGTACTCAGTCAAATATCGATACACCATCACTTTAGTATCAATACCCATATGAGAGTATCGATACTGCCTTAATCCAAAAGTCACATCAATCAGGGGGTATCAATACCAAAGGTGTAGTATCGATATTGAAGGGTCAGTATAGGTACCCATGAACAAATTTGGATAAATAATCCAAGGAGTAAGGGATCATACTCGAGTACCTCAAATACACTTTAATACAACAAATAAGACTTACAGCGATAACAGTAATTAATAACAGAATTGTAGTAATAGAAATAGTTAAGTTTACATAAAACTAGCTTTGTTTGACGCTCTAGAAATAATTAGGACACCTAAGTTCCTCTCTAGCAGAATACGACAGTCAGTGGATATCCAAGTCAGTGCTAATGCAATTTAGCAGCCGACTGGCCCAAATGCCCAAGACTCAATGGAGTTAGTTAGCGGGTGTACGTCTGATGTAGCTCTGGATCTCACCCTAGATACCTGAGGGTATCTCATATAGGATAGAGGGGTGTGTGAGCTCCAAGATGCAGAACCCTCAGCCACATCATGACGCTTACTTAGTAGATAAACCAATAACTTTGCATGTTTGAACTTGTGCCACCAGCTATCTCATTTAGTGAATGCATGTAGTATAGTACAGTTATTAGTGAGGCACTGAGCTCGTAATCTCAGCGTTCGGAATGAGTTTTTGTGTGCAGGTTCTTAGGGGTAGATCGTGGGGAGTTATCATCGCCAGGCATTCCAGTGTAACAGTACAGACCAACAATGACCACCAGAATACGTCTTGAGTTATCCTTAGAGGGCATATACTATTTATGGATCCTTTTATGTATTCATTTGTAACTCTTTCGATACTCAGTATTTGTATTATTTTTTGATGTACTTTGGGAGAACCCCATTATTTTGTAGACCTAGATTATCATTTTTATTTTTATTACTATGGATGGATTATTTCAGTAATTATAAACAGTTTTATAAGAAAATTTTTGGGTCACTTTTCGGTAGTCCCGTATAACATTATATTTCATTGATCTTCGGGTCAAACTAGATTAGGGTGTTACATAATGTCTCGTTTAAGCCTGTTGGGAATTGAAACAAACATTTTTGGAGACAGTGATTCAAATTAGCTTAAGAAATATCACACTCACAGATAGAAAACGGAATTAGGGCTTCGAATTCATCCTAAAGCACCTTTAATTTTGTAAAATGGGCAGAATAGGAGATATCACCTTGAACAACAGTAGCAATCTCACAGTGCAAGAAAAAAAATCTAGACCCGTCCACTTTGTCATAACGTTCCTGAAGATCCTTTCAAATGGCGATGGCGTTTGAAGAAAATAGAATCCCTTCTGAAAGCTTATTCGAAACAGAATTGATGATCCATGAGAGAACAATCGCATTACAACGATCCCAATAGGGATGAAGCGACTTATCAAAGTCATCACGTCTGCATCACCATCGATAAATTTGATCTTATTTTTTTACGAGAAGAGTCAAATATATCGACCTGCTCCAAAGTTTATAGGTCTCAATCCCATTTAATTGATGAGATCAAGAACTGAACCCGATGTATCAAAAGGATTAAGATAAAGCATGTGATTAAAATCAACAACGAGACTATCCACCATAGGCATGATATCAAAGAGAAGAAACAATGAAAAACGAAGAAGAAACGAAACAAATAGAGAAGAGAAAGGGCACACAGAAACGAAAAACAACCCAAGAAGAAAAAAACAACCAAAGGCCTAATGGATAAAAAACCTCAGCGACTGATACCATGTTAAACTACAATGAGAGTGGAAAAATACTTCAAAAATTATTATTTTGCACAATGATTACAAAGTGTTATATACAAATATATAATTGCTACAGTTAGTAATTGCCCCTAACTAACTACTTAACTAATATAACAACTAACTAAAACTAAAATTATAGCTTAATTGTAATTCTCAACATTGTTTTTCATGCAATAGGTTACCAATTAGTTAAAAATATTTTTTTAAGAAATATTAAAAAATATATCAAAATAAAATTTTAGTTATAATTAAAAGAAAAAAATAAGATATTCTTTATTAAGTTAATAATTCATGTCATCCTATCGAGGGTAATGTTCATTTTATTGCAAAATTCAAAATTTAATTTATAACTTTTAAAAATTCAATGCCTAAAAAAAATTTAACATAGTTTAGTTATAATTAAAAAAAATTGTTATCCTTTAAATTTTCAAATTTGAATATCATATATGTCAAATATATAAACGTTCGATGTTAAAAAAATTGTATACTTTTTTTCTCTAAATTTTTTCCTATTTTTAAAATACTTACAACTCAATAAAAATATATAAACTTCTTGCAAAAAAAATATCCACGATTTAAGAAGAAGAAAAAAAACATGCAAAAGGGTACCTAAGGCTCTCAAACTTTTCAAAAAAAAACTAATGTGGCCCTCTATTTTTTTTGCACCCAATGTGGCCCTCCAAATCAGGAAAAAATTCATTGTGATTCTTTGACCAACGTTTTTCTTCGTTGACCAACAGCTCCGTTATTTTATGTTGGCGTGGCATGTTAAGCAAACCAACATCCTATTTTTTTCTCTCAATTTAGCCCTCCAACTCAATAAAATAACTCAATCTGACCCTCTTAATTTTTCTCTTCTATTTTGATCACTAAATTTTAAAAGTTTTCAATTTAATCACTCAACTTTTGAACTACTCATGTTTTAATCATCATTATTTATTTTATTAATATTTATGTATAATATGGAATTTATTATTCTTATTTTTTTAATATATGATTAAAATATATTAATTAAATTAAAATTTTAAAATTATATTGAAAAAAAATATTCCCAAAATTATAATTAAATTGAAAAATATTTCATTTGCTTTATATATTTTCAAATCTCCACTCTCCTCATTTATCTTTTCATTTCATTTTTCTTCATTTTCAACCAAAATTTCTTTTTTTTTCCCTTTCATTACACGATCAAGTAGCTCATTACCAATTTTTTTAATTTTTTTACAAGTTCATTATGGATTCACTAAATCTGGTAATGAAAGAAAAAAAATCTTTGATTAAAAAGAAAAAATGTCACATCATACATAAATATTAATAAAATAAATATGATGATTAAAACAATAACAATTCAAAAATAGAATGTTGCTTACTTAACATGCCATGTCAATACAAAATAATAGAGTTGTTAGTCGACGACAAAAATATTGATCAAATGACTACATTAAATTTTTTTTACTTAGAGGATTATATTGAATGAAAAAAATAAAATATCATTATGATTTTTTTCTAAAAATACGAGGACTTTAAGTAATATTTTTTTAAATAATATAAATTGACGGAGGACCTAAAAAAATAAAAACAGAATAAACTTAAAAGAAAGAAAAAAAGAAAGAGAAGTCCACAAGAAACCAGCTTTAACATCCACCACACTCCATCCTTCTTGCAGCATTGTCACCATTATCAAAAGTCTTTTCAGTCCTCTTAAACTTGAGGATTCTAGTTTAGGGTTTTATTAAAAAAAAAAGAAATAAGCAGAGTAAGAAATGCAGATTGCAGGATTAACAAGCGAAGTGTTGGTAGCCATCCCTTCAGCTGGAACCCTCAGTTTCAGACACTTCAATTCCATCCACTTCTTCTCATCTTCTCCTTACTTCAAAGTATGACCCTTTTCTTTTTCTTTTTCCTTTTCTTAATATACATATTTATATGTATGTTTCTGTTGCATCGAATTTTCCAAAATAATAATAATAATAATAATAATAATAATAAAGATCATAACTGGCTTATTTCTTTCATTTGAGAATTCAGGGCAAAATTCTAAATTCTTGGGGGGGGTGGGGGGTTGTCCCTTAAAATAGTTGTTTCTTTGTGACATAGAGAACATAAAACTTGGTAGTTGAATAGAAAGTTGTTTCTTGATACTAGGGTTACGTTAGTGGTTTGCAAAATCCAGCTTGGTTGATGGTTATTAGGAATCTGTTGGCAGGATTGAAAGTAGAAAATTTTCTTGGGGGCCAAGGCCACTGCCTGTTAGAGCTTTATTTTCCCGTTGGCTGCAATCCACTGGCAACTGCATAATCTTTGTTCATATTTGCTGCCATGATAACTTAAGCCAGTTGGGTACTTTATTGAAAGATTGGAAGATGAAATGCGCGGGTTCTACTTTGACCTTGTACTTTTCTTGGCGAATCCTAAAGAAATAAATATGGAAATTATTGGAAGCATGTTTCTTTTAGTTTAAACAGTCCTTGAAGTTTATATGGCCTTTGGATCTTCATGCTTTTGTAGGTGCTATGTTTGTGTCCCAAGACCAAGAAGCCTTTTCTTGTCTGTCCGATGGGTTACTGTTATTAGGAAATCGTGTAATTTTGATGTTTAAAACATGATGTTGCAATTGTGAAATAGAGTAGCTGAGAGCAATCTGGTTAAAGACTATATATAGTCTCTTGCTCGTGTAAACTTCTGTTTTAGAAAAAAGCCTTGCTTTATATGGCAATGCCTGGAGACTTGAGCTGTGCGAGTAAACATAGAATCTTCAATCTTTTGATACTTTCCCTTGTCTTCTTAGCTCTCAAGAATCTTTTCTATCCAGAGATATCCTTCATTCTGCAATCCAAAGTTAGCGATGGCACCCGATAAATACCAAGGAGGAAGATGCTTAACTGTGAGAGCCTCAGGGGAGTCGGGTGATAATTTGTCACCAATTGCTCCTGTAGAATTCGAGTCCCCAGTTGGCCAGCTTTTGGCACAAATATTGAGAACTCATCCTCATTTACTGCCTTCAGCCGTTGATCAACAGCTGGGTAACCTTCGGAGTGATAAAGATGACCAGAAAGAAGAAACTCCACCATCTCAAGATCTCCTCTACAAGTGAGCATCTCTTTCCTTTTATTGTGCAGTTGTTGCAAATTGAAAAATTCTATCACATTTAACATTTGGATGTGTGTGTGCACACACGTGAGTTAGACTAAACGAAAAGGTTTTTGGTTTTGTATATTAACAGGATAATGGCATTTACCAGGGAATCGGTTTATGTTATGCTAAGTTCCTTCTAAAAGATTATTGGTTTTTAACTTAGTTATTTCAAGTTTCAACTAGTGATTAGTATATTGCTGGTTTTCTATACGTCCATTACCAAATTACTGATATAACTGAAACAATTGAACTGTAGGAGAATAGCTGAAGTTAAAGAAAAGGAGAGGCGGAAAACATTGGAGGAAATAATATACTACTTGATTGTACAGAAATTTGTTGACAATGAGATTTCAATGATTCCTAAGGTAACAGCAACTTCAGAACCTACTCGACGAGTGGACTTTTGGCCAAACCAGGAAGAGAAATTGGAATCCGTTCATTCTCCTGAAGCATTGGAAATGATTCAAAGCCACGTATCCCTTGTACTCGGAGACCGAGTGGTCGGTCCCCTCAGCACCATTGTTGAAATTACCAAGATCAAACTTGGAAAGCTCTATGCTGCTTCGATAATGTATGGATATTTCCTTCGAAGAGTTGATCAACGCTTTCAACTCGAGAGAACGATGAAGACCCTTCCTGAAGATTTCACCAAGGGCCAAGCAAGATTTGAGTTTCCGAATCCGGAGAAGCAGCTCTGGGATCCAGATTCTTTGATTATGATCCCACCTGATGATGGCGATGATGGTGATGGAGGAGGATACGCTGATGCTGAAGGAAAATCATATAGACTGAGATCCTATGTTATGTATTTGGATTCTGAGACACTTCAGAGATACGCAACCATAAGATCCAAAGAAGCTATTTCATTGATTGAAAAGCAAACGCAAGCACTGTTCGGGAGGCCTGACATTCTGATTCTTGACGATGGTTCAATTGATACATCGAATGATGAAGTAGTCTCCATCACTTTCTCTGGGTTGACAATGCTAGTCTTGGAAGCGGTGGCATTCGGTTCATTCCTATGGGATGCAGAGAGCTATGTCGAATCAAAATATCATTTTCTTAAGAGCTAACCATCATCTTTGCAATTGTTGTGTCATGAATGAGTCCCGTTGCAGCTATATAAAACATGATGAATGGTTAAAAAGTTGTATTACATGCTAGTTTCTAGGGAATATGACGTAAGTTTGTACAAGTTCGCAAAATGGTAAACAATGCTGCAAAAAAGGAATAAATACTAAAACTGAGTCGAACCCAGGTCGTTGAGTGCAAACCACTACACCATAGAACCAATTTGTTGATGTAATTCATCTCACATATTAAATTAATAAAAAAACAACATGCCTTTGAAATGGCAATATATGAGCACTCTACGGCTCGATCGAAATCAATGATATATCATCCATCATTTGAGCAAAAGAGAAATGATAAATATCCTATCTGAACATGCAAGATGAAATTAGTGAAGGCTTTGGAGGTTGCTCGTAGGAAATAACAATCTTGGAAGTATATTTGTAGTGATAAATAAAGAAGTTGGCTTCTATTCACCATGATCTTTCCAGCAATGCTCCACTTATAATAGATTTCAATTTATCTATTTCATATGCTTTTGTATCGAATGGAAAGGAAAGTTGCTTTTATTTAAAATTATAATAAAAAATGAAAAACACAACCAAATTTCCAGGAAAAAATAAAGTACCTATCGTTTTGTACGCTAGATTAGAGGGCTATACAAAGCACATTAGCCCTCTTTCTTGCCATTTATCTGAGTATTCATATTACTGTGTACCCCCACATCTCCACCATGAACATTTGATGCAGTAGCAGCAACACCAGGACAGGCATTTCGGTTTCCGTAAACAGTTCACACAGGTCGGTGGCCAGCAATTAGAGCACTTAGGCCACCAGCAACATCTGCTGAATCTTGGCTTTGGACATCTGAGGCATTTGGTTTGGCATGATTTAATCTCATAGCATCTGTCACTTTTAACTGAGGAACCAGTATTCGACCTTGTTGGTAGACGCATACTCTGCCGGATCCTTTTAAGGCGAATCTCCGTTGTCAGTTCTCCATTTCGTAAACGAACTTGTATAGATGACGTATGTAATAGGAGTATTGCTCTAAGTTGCAGTGACCACCCCCTTTCACCCACAAAGGCTCATACGATTCCCTTGCCTTTTTCCACAGTCCGTTTCCATGCAGCCAGTTGACAACATCATCTTCTGTGCCCTGATTAATTATCATATTTGATATTAGCACAACTTTATGGTACTTAATATTTGACATTAACAAGAATTATGGCCATACTTCAAATCTGGAATGAGATCTAATTTAATATTCGACAAATTCGAAAGGTACTTACGTGTATTACAAGCACAGGGCACTTTACCTTTTTAACTTTATTGATATTCTGCAGTTTTAAGGACAGTAATTAGCTCAAGTTGCCAATGATGTCAACAAACTGATATACCAATCATCAGACTGTCTTAAAATCAATATGGTTAAATATTGTTCTCGCAAGGCAGTTGATTTACGGGTTATTACCTCGAAAATGTCGTAGCAGAATGTAAATTTAACATGGCAAAGAACACGAAGGCGGAAAGAATGCCGCTATGCAGAACTACACCTCTAAGCCTCGGAAGTTTAGCTGCCAAATGTAAGGTCGGTCCACTTCCGATCGATTGGCCGTATAGAATTAAGTCTTCCTGGCTAATTCCATATTCGGTCTGAAGAAATTGGTACACAGCCTCTATATCAGCATAAGTGTTGGATTCACTAGGCTGCAAATCATACAATCAAAACAATAGCAAAAAAAAAACACAAAATCAACATCAGGTTTATAACACTTTAACAGCAAGAAAACGAAATAATAAGAAAAGATAATCGACCTACCTTACCAGTAGATGCTCCATAGCCAGAGTAGTCATACCTGCAGTTTAGCATTCAGCAAGGAACCTGATCAAATTGAGCATCATGCATTTGCTCAAAGAGCCCATTTTATAAAAACTTGTGTGCTCAAGTGTTAAACAATAGATCTCTCCAAATGAATCAGAAGAGAAATGCAGAACCTCATATGCTGCCACAATGCACTGAAGTCCAGGACTGAAACCAAACATATATTTGCAGGAAAAAGTAAAAAAAAAAAAAGTGAATGCAGAAGAGGAACCCCATTTTTACTTGCACTTTTAATGTCTACAAACCACGAGACACTTTACCAACTGAATAGTGCATATACTTAGAAATGGAGTAATAAGCTGAAGAAGAGAGTGATTACAGATCTAAGCCAAATAAGACCAGTCGGACCCAAAACAAGAAGAAAACATGATATTGACATATTGAAGACAGCCTAAACAAGAACAACCAACTTACACAGGCAAAGCACAGATAAGTGCAAATGACTAAATTTTGAACTAAAAATTGAAATGAGAATAAGAGGAAGAAGACTACCCCATAAGATTGACTCTGAGGTTGGCCTTTAGCTGGACAAAGAGGTCGTGGAGATGGCCAAGGTCAGCGCCATTGCCATGAGAGTAAAGCACTGTAAGGCGAGCGTATGGATTTCTCAAATAAAAACCAACAATCTTGTTACCAAGCTTGGTGTCAATCAAAAGCACATCCAAAGAAGGATCATCAGAAGCACCAGCAAGGGCTGAAGAAGAGGAGGAGGAGGAAGATGAAACTACCGTGACCTTCCCATTGTCACGCTTCTTGATCTGATATGTGGGCGGAGATGGCGGAAAGAAGGCAAACTTTGCAGCCAACTGAGAACACATACACCCCATTCAACCCCACCAACAAGAAGAGCTAAGACAACCCCAACTCATTGAAAAAAGAACAAGCTTGAGTGCATGGCACAAGATACGGAAGAACTGTAGGCTCTCTTTACTTAAAGCTGTTTGCTTTCAAAATGATGAGCGAAAAAGAAAATGAAAAACAGATCAGAGACAGGCAGAGATGTGAATCTGTAGTTGTGCATAACTTCATTGCGTATACGTGTCAGTTTGAACAGCGGAGTGAATACGTACAATCTCTATCTTCGCGTCTTTGCTTCCTACCAGTTCTGCTACATCAATAAAGACAATTTTCTGTTTCGTCTCTTTGTTATCTCCTTTTCTCCACTCTCCTGCGGCTATCAATCTCTGTTACTCGCCTCTCTTCTTTTCCTTTTTTTCTTATTTCTGGTCCAATCGTGAATTTTATCCTCAACTTTATGAAAACTTCGGCCTTCTATTTTAATTTGTTACATGTAGGGATGAGCGTTCGATCAAGTCGAGTCGGGTTGAGTCAAAAATTTTGAGTTATTCGAGTTTACGAGTCTTGTTTTACAACTCGAAGTTGACTTGAAATTTTTTCGAATCGATTTTTTGAGTTTTTGTTTAAATTTAATTGTGAATATTTATAATATTATAATATTTTTTTGTTCCAATTTAAGTGACTTTCTATAATCATATGTACAATACAAATATGTTTCTTCATATATTTTCTCATATGTGATATATATATATCATACAAAGTCCAATAACTCGACTCAAACTTGAAAATAAATCTACTAAATACTAAAAATTTTGAGTTATTCGAGTTGCATTTTACAAGTTGATTTGAACTTGATTTTTCTTTTTAGTTGAGTCGAGTTTATGAAATTGTAACTCGAAGTTAATTCGAGTCGAGTTTTTTATTCGAATCTAGTCGAAAAAATCAATTTTTCGAGTCGAATTTTACTCACCCCTAGTTACAAATTTGTTCTATATGAAATTACTTCATTTGTTGGTGAATGCATGAAAATAAACTATTGATTTTTATTAATTTATTGAATACAAATTATTATTTTTATTGAAAGTAACTAGTTTTATTAAAATAGAAAATAATTAAAATTATAATAAAGATTTACAAGTATAACCGTAAACTTAAAATATAATTATTACATTTTCCTTTTAACATTGAAACAAAATCTAGCCACCTAGATCATATAAGACCAAAAAAGAAAAAAGTTAAAAAACCTAACAAAAAAACTCTAATAAAATAAAGATACGAACAAATCTGACTGCATCGATAAACGAATAAAAAATGGGATTAAACTACTGAAAGACCACTGACATCTCACAAATCAGAATCAAGCGAAGTGAAAGAACTATCCACGAACGGAAAACACGTATCCAAATCAATTTGATTGTCCAAAGCAGAAAGATCATCATAATAACAAATAAGTGTCATCTTGATCAGTCATGCAATGTCAAATCAAACCATGAGAAAAAAGATAAACAAAAATAACGACAAAAAACCGTAAGTTACCAAAAGGCAGAGAAAAACATGCCACAAAGACAAAGATAAACATATCATAAAGGCATAGAACATATCACAGAGACATAATTATTCTTATTAAAAAACAAAAAAAAACAGATAACTGGAGGACGGCAACCAACATTAAAAATGGTATCGTCGCCGGTTAAATAAAATTAAAGAAGAAAATTTTGGATTGATCAATAAAATTAACACAAGTGATAAAGAAAAACAAAAGAGAACGAGAGGAGGAGGAGGAAGAAGAAAGCAGCTTATTGAATACAAATTGTTGAATCATTTTTAGTAATTTCTTATCTATAGATTATTAAACTAATAATTTTTAGGTCAGAGTTTAAGGACAAAATTTAATATTGTTATCCAGTTAATTAACTTCTTAACTTTTTGAAAAGTTGATGAGTATAATCTAATGAAAACTAAGTTTTCAATTTTAAGTAATTGGGTTTTTGTAAATAATCTAATAAATTAAAATATAGAAACTAAGCTTTCAATTTTTGTGAAGTAAAATGAATAAGATATTATTTTAAGCAATTGGATTTTTGTAAAGTTGATGCTTCATCATTATCTAAAAAATAGTTTCATTTAGATTTCATGCATAATCATATAAAGAGTAAGAGGCTATTTAATAAAATAATTAAGCGTTGAATAATTCAATAGCCTGAATGATTCAAATGCTTTGTATGAATTAGCTCTGAATGTGACATGTTGTTTGATAATGGTTCTGAATGTACAATCTGAATTATGAATATTTTCATTTTTACCTTCATAATGATTTATTATATTATAAGATATGATTGTTTAATAAGACAATATGTGAAAAATAGGTATTATGGTAAAATATCGGGTGCTTAATGATTCAGAATGTACTTTAATGCTGAATCATTCAGCAATGTTTTGTTGTTTCATTCAGCATAATCTTCATTCAGATGTGAGAATCACACACGTTGAATACTAAAC